GTGTGTTTGTGTTTGTATTTAGAGGAAGGTACTCGCGAGAGAGATGAGGTATTAGGGAGTGATCATCCTCTTATTGATAATATACAAACATATATATATGCAATATAAATTATTAAACTAATGTTGTGAACCGACTTAATATGTCGGCTAAACAATTATTTATTATAAATATTAAGAGATATTTATCATATAAAAAGATATTTATCTTATTATAATAAATATTAATTAATTGGGTTTTGTCTAAATAAAAATATATTGGAAATTAGTTATACGAAGTATAAAATATATTATTTATTTTTCTTTCTCTTGGGTTCCTTTTAGGTTTTCGTGGCATGATCGATTTCGATATGTCCAAGTCCAGTGTTTGACTGACCAAGTTGTTGCTTAATTTATTTAATTCAAATACAACTACTTTTTGTATAATACTATCTTTCCTCGAATTTTCAATTTTGTGTTTCGTTGCCTATCCGCTTCTTTTAAAATTTGTCGTCTAATTATTCTTTTTTTAATGTAACAAAAAATGAAATAAATAATGTTAAATCAGTTCAGTCGTATTTAGAAAAGTCCGCACTCCATCTTTTACAGTTGAATAATACATTCTTGATAATAAAAGCATCGCTAACAAGAATTTTTTATGAATATCCACAAAAATATAAAATATAGAACTAATAAAATTGTACGGATTTCTTCCAGTATTGGATAAATCCATTTAAATATTTTTTAATTTAAAATTTTTTAGATTATTTTCTCCAATAGTAGAAAAAATCCACACTAATTTATTAATATTTATATTTTATATTATTTGGAGAAATTCATAAAGAAATTTTTGTTGGTGATGCGATAACGACATATATTTTTGGCCTTGATTGGCATAGCCTATAGCTGTAGCAGTAAGGAACGAGAGCATTAGCCTTATGAAGCTGTGAGCTGTTAGATATTAAACTGATGATAACTGATTGGTAAAACTGTGAGCAGTTAGATATAAAATTACAAAAACGGATAAAATTATTTTAATCTGATTTTGGTACGTAGATTTTATTAACTCATAAAAAAAAATTATATTTTTTTTGTTAAAGGGTTTTCATAGAATTTAGAATTAAAAAGAACAGTACAAATAAAGCCTGTAAACACAGCCCAAGTGGGTCTGGCCCAGGTAATAACATAATTCTAGGGTTACAAAAAGGCCCAAGCCCAATAACAACAAACGAATCACGACAAGGGAGATCGGAAAATCTCCTGCCGCCACGACCACCACCATCGAGCAGACACCAGATCCAAAAACTTCAATTGACAAGAGGATTCACCTGAATCAGAGTCCCATATGCAGCGAGTGTGGAAAAAGAAGTGCCCACGCCTCGACACACAAGAGGCTTGGCCAAACCGAGATAGACCGTGTGACGACAGAGAGACCAACGTTGATGGAGGATCCAGACGCAACCACCTCCAAAGTACCCACCCGAAGCCCTTGTACCGCCTCAAGCACCGGAGATTCAAACGGATCGGAGTGGAGCAAAAGGAAGACACACGCCTCCGGTCCGTTGAAGATGAGTTGTTCGAAGATTTCGCCCCCAAAGATCCACACATCCCCGTCATCTGTCGCCACTCCAGATCTACACCGAAGAAGCCTCGCCGCCATGGTCCAAGTGAACAGCTCCTTAGCTGAAGATCTCGTCAAGCAAAACCCATAGAATACCTCCATCAAATCTTCATCACAGCCTCAAGGAAGAAAGAACGGTGAGAGACTCTGAGAGTCACCGTAGAGAACCAAGAGCCACCGATCTAAACCGCGCCGAGTAAAGACCAGATCTACTCCCCTATCTTTAGAGCATAACCTCTCAAAGGCCACGATGAATAGCAAGACAAAAGAAAACTAGAAAGGGAAAGAAGCCCTCTCACAGCATTCAGTTGTGACACCGGAACCGGAGAGGCAGATTTGACGAGATTTGGAGGCGGCTAGTTTTTTTTTCCTTATGGGGGATGACTAATCGTCTCTCAAAGACTTTTTCTGAAGAAAAAAAAAAAGACTAGCAATCGACATGTTACGTTTTGTTATGTTTTTTCTAAACTTTCACATGTAAATACTAATACATATACGTTTGAAATAATCTATTCACAGTTTTTATTTGTTGTTTTCAGATGGAACACGTAGATGTGCTTATGAATGACTTTGTAATCTTAAACATATTAATAAGAAATTGTTTACCAAGAATAAGCAAACAAATGTACGAAGAGTAAAAAGAAAGTAATAACGTTATCTAAAATAATGAAGTAATGTCGATGAAACATTTTTTCACCCAATTTGTTGATAAAATATTATTTTTTAATTAAAAAGGGGTGTATGTCCCATCTTCTCCTTGTAATAGTAGTTACAATGAATTTTATGTCCCAAACTGTCAAAAGAGAAAAGAAAATATTATTTTTACCCGGACCGACCTATGTAGTCAAACAAAGCAAATATCTTCAAAAAAATTCTAAGAGAAAATTCAACAGGACTATAATAAATTGGTGTTCCAAATCTGTCGGCGCTGTAATCTTCAATAACTTTACATTTTGGCATGCAAAAAAAACAAGAAAATAACTAGTATTATTTTTGCCAAGCGATTATGGGTTTAAATTTCCTCATTTGATTATGATATTTATTACCCTCTCTATTCTATTATATAAAAATTTTTAGATAAAACCGCAGAGTTTAAGAATGATATAAATGTTAGTTTTTGTTTTGTTTTTTTACATTAAAATCATTATTTAATATCTAATTACAAATAAATCAACTAATAAAAAAAATCTTACGGAATATTAATGGCCATAACACATTAAATAAGGGGTAATTACAAAAATGTCACTTTTATGTGTACATTTGCAAGATGCCACTTAGAAGTGTCCATTTACAAAAATGCCACT